TGGAACCCGTACGTACCTCCCCAAACCCGAGATTCGGGTCAAATTCGGGTCTTCGGCTTGGGTTGGGTTGGGGTTGTCTGGTAGGTAGTCAGGCTTGGACGCTGCGACACAGCGCGACGGTGAGCTGACACAGTGCCCGCGGAAGCAGGCGGGTGCAGAGAAGAGGCGGCCTGGCCTTGGAGGCTTGCTGGAACAGTTGCTGCATGTTTGGTTCAGGCCCTGGCCTCCTGATGCTCTCCTTCTCCGAGTTTGGCGCGCTTACCCAGAGCCCGCGATATCGGCCGGCAAGCGGCGCAAGATGGCGCAACGCAAACGTTAAGCGTTTGCATTGACAGGCGTACCATGCAAGCACAACGACTCAAGACGCACATAGCCAATCAATACAGGACTGACATATCATAGCCAAGCAATGCGCGGCTGCATTTATGGAAGCAGAGAGGGGGGCAATCGACCTGCGAACTCAGAAGTCGAGAGTATTAATGGTCGCCGATCCTTAATCCTGACAGCCGGTAAAGAGCTACCTTAGGGCCACGTTTGGGCCTCTTCTTCTCGAAGACCTTGGGAATCTCTTGGGGCTCTCCTGGAGCCGCCTGAGCCGCCGTGGGGCGGAGCCCTCTTGAGCTTGTCCAGGTCGATTCCACCTGCTCCGACTCTTCTTGCTTGCCGCCCTTCCATTCTCAGGAGAGGTGTCGCCCTCCTCGTGCTCCTGATGTTCGCCGTCATCGCGCTGTCTTCTTTCACCTCGTCGTCTGCCCCATCGGGAGCTGTAATGGTAATCGCAGCCAGAGAGGAGCCCGGATGCATTGCAAAGCTACTTGGTACACCCTCCGAACGCGCTCTGCCACCACCCCACCTGGGCTAGTTGTTCCTATGTTCGAAGACGGCGGGATATGTAGCAGGCTTTGGTAATATAATTGTTTCTTCTGCGCAGTAGGTCACGGCGTGTTGTTGTTCGTTTCGTTATATATGCATATGTATATATATATATATATATATATATATATGCGTGTTTTTTTGTTCCAAGGCTGTATCCACTGAGTTGTGAGCGAACGACTTGGAGAAACAAGCCTCGTGCCCACACTCAGAGCCTGCACTTCTCGGCTGGCCGCAAAACCCATGAGTCTCGCAGTCGATCTAATGGTCGCGCAGAGATTCGGCCGAGCAGTTGCCCAGGAGCTGCCTGGGCGGCAGTCGCCCAGCGGTTGCCCGGCAAGTTCCGGCAGTTGCCTGCCTTTGGCCCTGGGCCCCGTCGGAGGGCAACACATTCGCAGCTGTTGACGGAGGGGCGCGCGGCGGCGAGCGTTTCGCGCCCCCGCCGGAGTGGCGGCGTGCCCGTGGGAAGTTCTTCAGGAGGGGAAAAAGCACACAGACACAATTAATCGTCGACTCCCAGGAAAATATGGAAAAATGTGGGAATTGGGGGGGAAGACAAAAACCCAGAAACTATCGGAAAATATTGGGAATCTTGTTATTCGTGTGTATTTTTTTTTTTTTTGTGTGTGTGTGTGTGTGTCCCAGGGCCCCTTCAGTTTTGGGGTACAGTTGGACCGAGATATAAAGTCGAGGTCAGTCCGGGGAGGGTGCCCTGATATTCTTTGTGATTGTTGGGCGTTCTTGTGCATACTGGGGAGGGCGCCCTCGGCTGTTCTGTGTGTGTTTGGGCCGGCGGAGGGCTTCATGCTCTTGAAGGATGGTCTTCTGTCCCAGGTCCGACTGTACCGCGCGTGAAGGCCTGCGATCGGGTCGCGCAGTGTTGGTTGGCGATGTGCTTGCGGCCTCGAGGAGCGAGCGGCGGGTGCGTGCGGCAGCCGCTCGTTAGCCAGAGCCGCCGCACGCGCTGCGGCTCTCGCACCTGCCACGTTGATTTGTTCGATGAGCCCGATTCAGAAACCGGCGGCGAGCGGGGGGGGGAAGTGAGAAGGAGAAGGCCTTCTCAGAAGGCGGCGGGGCTTCTCAGAAGCCCTCGCGCCCTCTAGCCCTCCAAAAAGTTTCCTGCGACTTCGGGGAAGGCCCAGAAAGCTCCTCGCAAGGCCGGGGGGGCTTCCGGGTCTTCTTCTGAGACTGCCCGCCCCCTCTCGCTTCCCCGCCGGGGTCGCCGCCAAGAAGAGAGAGGGGCCCAGATCCGCGGCGCGCGCGCGCCGGTTCTCGCCACCCCCCTCGCGAGCTTCGGAACTCACCACCCACCAAACCACCCCCACCCAACCCGAAGGCTCGACTTTACCGTCGATTTCCAGTGGGGGGGGGGTCGGGGAACATCGAAAAAACAGGCGTGGAAGCCTTACCCCCCCCAACCCGAAAGTCGGGTCTTCGGGTTGGGTTGGGGTGGCCTGGCAGGTGGTCAAGCAGAGGCCACGGCTCGCCACCCGAGCGACGCCCACGGGCGGGATCGTCTGGCGCCTGCCCGCGCGAGGTCGGGCGTGCGCGCCTCTGGCCTTCCCGTGCAGCGTTGCGCGCGGGCGGCCCCCGCGCAGGCCGCGGCGTAGGAGGTCGCCGTGTCGTCTCGCGCAGGGTTACGTCGGGCCCGTCCCCCTAGGCCAAAATCCTTGACTTTCCTTAGGTCTTTGAAGGATTTTGGCATTTGCGCCTTTTCGGCTTTCCGACGGCCCGTGACGGCCCCAGAGGCCGCCAAGGTCGCCCCAAGATCGCCCAAGAGGCCTCCAAGATGGCCCCATGACGGCCCAAGAGGCCCACAAGACGGCCCCAAGAGGGGGGTGCTGACAAGGGGGGGGATCTCATGGCGGGGCCATGGTATCTCCCGGATCTCCTGGCGCCTCTTCTTATTTCATTGCGTCCCTGGCCCCCCCGCTTGGGCCGCGCACATGCCGCCGGCCATGATTTGCACCCCCCCCTCCTGGACACCCCCCTCTTGGCCGCCCCCGGCTACAGGGGGAGTGTCGACGAAAAATAGGAAATACCCCCAAACATAGTCAAAACATAGTCCGAAAAATAGCCCGACATAAGCGTAAGGTCGCTGTGGCGTCTCGCGTAGGGGTCCGTCGGGCCTGTCCCCCTACAGGGTGAGTGTCGACGAACAATAAGGAATGCCCCAACAATAGTCAAAACATAGTCCGAAAATAGCCCGACATAAGCGCAAGGTCGCTGTGGCGTCTCGCGTAGGGTTAAGTCGGACCTGTCCCCCTACAGCGGGATCGTCGACGAAAACTAAGAAATGCCCCCCAAAATAGTCAAACAGTGGTCCGAGAATAGCCCGACAGAAGCGTAGGGCCCGTGCCTTTGCGCCGCCCCCTCCCCCGCCGCCTCGGCGGCGCCTCCGGTGCCGCCACAGGCGGGCTCCGCGCGCCAGGGAGGGGGGTCCAGAGCGCAGGTCCAAAGAATCCGCGCGGAGCGCCACGCGTTTGTGTTTATGGCGTTTCTTCTTCTTCTTCTTCTGGACGTGCCGATTTCTTATTCTTCTTCTTCTTCTCTTGGACGTGCGGGTGTTTATGGCCCAAGCGTTTCTGTTTGTGGCCCGTTTCTTCGCGTTTCTTCTTCTTCTTCTAGACATGCCGTTGTCGCGCGACTTCGGTGGTGTCCAGCATGCGAAGCGCCTGCGCGCGGCGGCTCTGCGATGTGGGAATTGCGCATGTGGAGAATGAGCCGTACTAGTACCAGCCTTCGGGAAGCCCGAGCGGATCCTTTGGGGCGCGCCATTCGGGGATGCTCGGTCTTCACCCTTGCGCCCCTGGCAGCCCTCTCTGCAAAGGGTCGACGTGCGCGCGTGCGAGGGGGGCGGCGGCGCTGCGATTCCTGCATGGCGTGATTGAAGAACGCACCGTGTCAGGCTGGGTAGCCCAAGTGGACCTTCAGCGCGCGCCAGTTGGATGTTCAATATGGTATGCCGTTTTCGCCTGGCCTCCGTAGCATCCAGTACGCATAGCGTTTACGCGCGCGGCGGCGGCGCTGCGGTTTCAGCATCGCGAAGTTCAAGAAGTTGCCCTGCGGGCGTGGAAAATCCAAGAGGATCCAGGACGCACCTCCCAGACTTTCAACTGGTACTGAAGATTTGTGCCGTCGCAATTGGCTAAGTCGCCGCTTTGCTTTGGAAAGTCGACTGGAACCTTGGGGCTCGCACCATCGGTACAGTCGGAGCGCTGAAGAAGGAACCCTGTTCGTTGGGGAGGGGCTCCGTGTTCCTTGATCGTTTCACGGTTTGCCTTAGTTTTTCCTCAGGTGTTCGATGGGACATCGAACTTTAACTGATGGGAAAAAGGGGCCTCGTTCCTCATTTAGGGCTCCTTAGGTCAACGCCCCGACTGTACTCTTCAGGCTGAGCATGCTGCTACATCAAGAGCGGCGGCGGCGTGGCGATTCTTTGGTTGCACAATGGAACGTCTGGCGCTCGCCATGTGGGTCTCCAACTTTCAGGGGCAACGATAAGGGTGGGTTAGGCATGTGTGGGGATGAATCGACCCGTCATCGCCCATGGATCACAGATGTGGGGTTCGATCGCCTCAACCTTCCCAGGAGGGTTCCGATTCGCTATCGGGGGCATCTCGCCTATCGGTCGGTGATGCATTGCCCATTCCATGTCGACGTGTCCCCCCCTGCGCCCGTCCCCCCCCCATCTCGTTGCCCCTCAAGCGCACCATGCCGTTGCCGCGCGACCGCTGCACAGCGTCCAGCTCGAGCGGCGGCGCCTCTGCCATGTCTGCTCTGCGCAGCGGAACAGAGTCTCCGGGCCAACCTGACATATCCAATTGAACCTACATCGGCGGCGAGCGAGGGGGTTACACGAGAAGGAGAAGGCCTTCTCAGAAGGCGGCGGGACTTCTCAGAGGCCCTCGCGCCTTCTGCGAAGTGGTCTCTGTCTCCCGGGAAGACTTGGGAAGCGTCTCAAAAGGCCAGGGGGTCTTCCGAGCCTTCCGAGAAGGCCTTCTCCTGCTCATTTCCCCCCCAGGCTCGCCGCCTACGACACCGCACGCCACTCTGATCTTCAGCCGAACATGCCGATGTCGTGCGTGCCTCTCGCGGTGCGGACTGAGGGAGGCAGGTGCCCGCACTTGCGTCAGAGCGGGCCACTGTAAGGCGAATCGTGCGCGGCGTGTGCTGATTGCGCTGGCTTCTTCCGGTACTTCGCCGCCGGGTTCCTGTCCAAGGCGTTCTTTGGCAAGCACATGGTCTTCGGCACCGCCTGATTCCGGGGCGTTCCCCCCTCCTGGCCTCGATGTGAGGGGCCCCTCCTTCTGCCCCCCTCTCGTCAATTCAAGCTGTGCGCGGCCCGCGTAGTTTCGACCGGAAGAGGTGCGCTCTCGACCTGCGGATTAAAAAGAAAGTGTGCTGATTGCGCTGGGCGTGAGGTCGGGCACATCGGGAGGGACGGGTCTCGTCATCTTATTTGGGCTAGCAGCATGTCCGCTCGTCCAGCCACGTCCGATACATGTTTCGGGCTCCGAGAGATCGGTCGGGCGTCGGACCGTCGGACCAGGAATATTTGACGAATAGTGGAACAACGATTAGTGGAATGAGGTTGTTCGAGCACATGCGTTTTCGAAACGACGGCCTCCGCGCCGCGCAGCCCCAAAACGTCATGTACATGCCGGATGGAGTTGCAAAACGGTGCTTCTGCATTCTTAAGCGGGTTCGCTTCTGCACGTGATTTGTAGTTTCGGTGGGTTCCTGCTTGCGAAGCTCGGGAGGGGAAGGAACCACACGCAGACACAAGTCATCACCGACGCCCAGGAAAAGATGGGGGATATATATATATATATACATGGGAAGGGGGGGGGGCGACGAAGACCCAGAAACGAGGGGAACCTCCCAGGGGATCCTTGGATCTGTGTGTCTATTGATTTGCGTGCCCCCGGGCGCCCTCCGCAGCTCCGTGGCCGGGCGCCTCTGCCCAGCGACGGCGGCCACGGGCGGCGCCGACGGCGCCGACCGCGGCGACGGCTGCGACGGCCGTGGCGGCCGTGGCACTTCACCGCGCGGGGGCCGCCAGGTGCCGGCGCTGCCCTCCAACGCCGCGCCGCCAGCCGCGTCGGGGCGCAGCGACATGGTGCCGCCGCGAGTGTCGCTCGGGGGTGGAATAGACCTCCTACCCTGACGCGTCGATTCGTGAACTGTTCTTTGCTTTCCGGTTCTCGACAGGGCGCCGCGGTGAGTATTTTCCAGGCTTGCGCCCGCCAGGCTTGGGCCCGAGGTCGTTTTCACGAAACCACGTTTTGCTAAAGGGAGGTCTGTCCATCCCCGAGTCAGAGGAGTAAGAGGTACATCTGCCTCTGCCTTGCCCTGGCTTTTTCCCCCGTCTGAGGCCTCCTGGGTAGCCCTCGTCGCCACCGCGGGATTCGCTCCGAGATCCTGGTCAGAACGCACCCCGGGAGAGGTCGGGGGAGTAGCGGTATCGGCACCTCTTGTTTATTCAAAAGTGCGGGGAGGAGGCCCAGATTTTTCTCGCGTCGTGGGGAAAGCAAGGCGGATATTTGTTACCAGCTTTCGGTTTCTGACATGTTTGACGAGGCCCTGGGACCGTCAAGAGGCTGCTCCCGAGAAAGGGGTCGATGCGTATGGCACTTCGAGCCGATGTCGGCTACGCGTAAGAGTGACCTTTCGCGGGAGCGACCTTTCTAGAGCGGGGCCACAGGGGGTCCCTTCTGCATTAATTCGCGTGCTTAGATTTGGCTTCCCCGCGGAATCCTGAAGCCGCGCACGAATGATCATTCTTTCTTAGGATTATTATTGCGTTTAGTCGACTATGTGGGACCGCATCGTGGAAACGATCCCACTGATGACTTGTAGAGGAGGACAGCGAACATGAAACTTGAATTGGTATGGAATGGCCTGCCTCCGGAAGGACAGACCCGACGAGGACGGGGGAGGGGGGAGGAGGACGGAGGAGGGACGCGGGACAAGACGAGAGCAGGGTGAGGAGCAGGAGGAGAGCGCAGGCGGAGGGCCATCCTGGGCCCCGGCATGGCGTGCACGCCCTCCCTGCCGAGGGCAGGGGGACCCAGGCATCCGATGAACTGTCTCGTGAAATCCGCGGGCTCCCGAGGCCTCGATCCCGCTCCCCAGGTTCAATGCGTTGGTTGGCCGCGGGGCACGACGACGGCCCCGCGAGGCCGAGATCGAGGAACAGCGCCGGGGTCGAGAACGCTACCCCTCCCGAGGATCTGGGGGGGAGGGGGCGAACGAGGACCAGGAACTCTCACGAACGTGGCGACGGCCGAGCAGCGGGCAGCACCCCGGGAGAGAGAGGGGGGTGCGATGCCGGCAGGAGGGAGGATGCGGGATGGGGGGGCCGCAGAGGGACACGAGGAGTGCTCTGGTTCAGAGCGAGGGCCCGACCGAGGAGGAGGAGGAGGAGGAGGATGCGGGAGGGGAGGAGGAGGAGGAGGAAGGAGAGTATGGGAGGGCTGGGAAGCATCAGTCCTCCCGAAGTCTTGGGGCGAAGGGGGACCAGGAGGCCACGTGAGTGGGGATGCGCCCGGGCAGGCGCCGCCGCCCCCGCAGCCCATCTTCGGCGGCCCGCTTGGGGCATGGACACAGGCCGCGCCGGCAGACGCCCCCCAGCCTCCTCGCCTCCTCCTCAGCCTCCTCCGCCGCCTCCTCCTCCTACCTCCTCCTCCTCCTCCTCTCCCTCCTCCTCCTCCTCCTCCTCCTCCTCCTCCTCCTCCTAGTAGTCGGTGTTAGAGGCTCGGAGATTCCTTCCGACCGATCCAAGTGCGCGAGCGCACCGTCGACTCCAGGGCCCCCCCAGAAAATTCGATTAAGAAGGCCAAGGGGAGTGGCCGAGCCCGCCGCGTCGCCATGGTATTTATGACGTGCAGTCCATACACAACAAGTGGCAGTGAAAGATTGGAGGACACCAGTGTAGTACTCAGTGATTGGGACTTCGTAAGTCTGAGTGGGACACACGAATGGGCGGGAGATGGACCGTGCAAGAGATCCGACCTACAACACCACACCATTGGGCCTTGCGTTGTGGAGGAAGGGCAGGTGGATTACTAAAGTATGTGGGGTATCTATATTGGTAATGAAAAGAAGACCCCAATAGTCCCTGCACAGCACTCTTTACCTTCCTAACAACATACAGGGAATGGCGGCTGAAATCTGGTTGCAGACTCGGGAACTAGATAATGCTTTTTGCTATATCTATAGACATTTGTGTGCCCCTCGCACACTTTTAATAATTATGGACACTTTTGTTCCCGAGTTACACATTGGTTTGGGCAGGACTGTCACAAATTAGGATACAGTTCGACACCCATGATAGCAGGGGACATGAACACGGACTTCGGAAGGCACAGAGACTCAGACGGAATAGTGCAGCCGAGCGCAGATAGACATGCTGGTTCGCCTGCACCAAAAATCGAAACAGGAACGGTCGAGGAACCATTCATTCTGCGAGCGAGACGGGATGTGCGATGCGACTGTTTTTACCGACATAGGTGCGACGTACTACGGACCGCAAGGGTATGAATGCCGCATCGACCAGTTTCTCATCCCCACAGGTGCCCTACAGCTTGTCGATCGCTGCCAGGCCATTCGGTACTCTGCCAGGAGACTGCAGCTCATCAAGTGCAAGTGGCACAGAGATCACCTGCCTGTTTTTTCTGACCATTCCCCTCGCCCTCGCCCATGCGCTTGCCATCCGCGCTAGACGTGCAAATAAGGGTGTCAGTGGAGACGCGCTGATGAACTGCTTGCGGAGAGGTAAGGCGGGAGTTCTGTCAGCACTTGGAGGAGTAAATGGTGAGGAGCGGCAGGGAGAATGGGAAGCAGCGCGGCAGAATTCTACTCCAGACCTGGCGTGGATGCTCCCGCGTAGGGGCCATGAGGACTGCGACGAGAAGATCTTTCGGAGATCCTCCTGCCACGTTTGACGGGGATGGCCATATGGCACGGGCTGAGAGAATGGAGATGCTGGCCAAAAGGAGGGGACTGCGACCGCGCCAGGGAGACGCGCCCACCGAGCAGGAACTGGGCGGAGCGCGGGCAGAGCTAGCACTGGCGACGGTCCTACTGAGGGGGCTCAGAGAGGAGCATCCCAAGAAGCGCAGGGCACAAATTGCCGAACGGGTTTTGGGAGCCTACGAGCAGTCGAACATCGAAGAGACGCATCGACTTGGGACTGCCTGCATTATGACCGGCAGAGGCCCAAAGTGGAGGTACTATTATTCCCCACAGCCTCACTAGGTGGCCGAGCTACAAGTCGGCATGAACATCGACATGCAGACATACTTGCAAGTGGTATTAGCTCGAAATGCAAACTCATCACCATCAAACCTCATTCTTATCACCCGAAGGTTGGTTTATGAGCCCGTAATGCGTACTACCCGGATCCTACTCATTTGCATGCTCATCTTCCCTCCTGGCTATCCCCTTCTTCCTCCTCCACTCCCCTCCTCCATCCTCCTCTCTCCCTTTCTCTCTATGTCTGTCTGTCGTGCTCCTCTTGTCGAATGCTCCCTGACCCCTCATTCCTGCTCGCTCCTCCCCTCCCTGCCCTCTCCCCCCCTCCCGGTTACTTTCCCTTGGATTTGGCTCGTGGCCAGCGCGGGAGCGGGCGGGGGTACAGTTGGCAGCGGAGAGGTGTACATATGTATATCTATATGTATTTGTATAGGTATATGTGTATGTATATGTGTATATACATGTATCTGCAAATGAACATCAAATCCTGACAACGCTCGGCGACAAGCTAGAGCTGATCGCCGCGATCGTCCCTCTCGTGAAGGCCAGCGACACCTGCGACGCAGCGAAGTTCAAGCTACAGCTCAGCCTATACCCCAGGAGCGACGACGACTTCAGCGTGACCTGCGACCCACTCATCCCGACGAGGGCGAGCTACAAGCCAGGGCAGTGGTCGACGGTGCACATGGAAAGGTTGCTACATACGAAGCTGACGCAGCAAGAGAACGCACACATGGGATAGACTTATTCGCTTTTCATTGGACAAGGCATAGTTGTGCGCAATGGGACCCATGTATTCCACAAAATACGGCAAATATTAGCATTGGGAGCTGATCGTCTGCATCAGAGTGTGCGCCTATAGTTGTGCAGGGCATGTGGAGCCCACCTCTCGCATCACAGAGTGCGCCTGCATCCGCAGTTGTTCAGGGCATGGGAGGCCCAGCGCCTACCTTTTACCGCAGTGGTCCAGGGCTCGTACCGCCCACTTCCAGCATCCTCGAATACACCTACGTGAGTTGTTCAGACCATGGGACGCCCACGTTGTTTGCTTACGAGTGGTACTTCGACGCGTCCCCGTACCGAGATTTGGACAGCTTCGCTGCTGGCACATGCCCGTGCACTGGCCCAGGCTGAAAAGCACAACCTTGCTGAGCCTCCCGAGCCAAGCCTGCCCTGCAGCCCAGTGCATCATCACCCCTCCCCGCCTCCCGAGTCTCTGGAGCCTCCTCTCCTCCCCCCTCGCCCCAAGCGGCCTCGTAGGCCCTCTGTTCCTCCGCCGCTGTCCCAACGACAACCGCCATCGATTCGAGGCTCGTCTTTTCCTCCCCCCGCCGTCAGGCGAAGCCCAGGATGGGACTCGAGATTCAGGGATTCCATCATGAGACTTGTAGGCGTTAAGACCTGTTTTTTTTTGTCCCGTCCGTCAGTGATCACGCTGTTGCTGTTCGGGTGTGGCCCGATCCTGGAGGCACCCAGCGTCAGAGACATCCGAACTGATGCTTCCGAGGGGTCCGCCCCGATCCGACTTATATGTATATACTTCATGATGTTCCCAACCGGCTTTAGCCTTGACCACCAAAAAGAATTTCGAGTGAGAGTTTTCACGTGTCGGGCCTTGTGAGACTCTGTTGCGATACTCTTTCGACACTATTTCAAGACTTTTCCGGGAACTCTACATTTTTTCTGGGATGTGGTCTTTAAGTACGATGGGAGCAACCTAAACATGTATGTGCACACGCATATATATACATACATACACATATTTTTATATATATATAGATGGGTTGCCACGTGTTTACACACCGCTCATCCGAACTAGCCCGAACATTGGTCCGAATCGCGCCTTCGGCAACGATCGCGTTGGCTTCGAGCTCAGCCTAAGTATTCGGAAACAGCCCGTCTGCGCGATCCAAAAAGGCTCCAAGAAAAGTAGAATTCAAACGATCGCGTGCGCAAAACACGCACAATGTTTCTGCTGAGTAGTATCCGTAATCTGGGCCCCAGGCTCAAGCGCTCCTAGACCCGAGGCCTCTTTCTCGGTGGCGAGCGAAGGGGGAACTGAGAAGGAGAGGCCTTTCTCAGAAACCCTCGCGCCTTCTGAGAAGTTTTCTTCGTTTCCGGGGAAGTTTTCTGAAAACGTTTTTTGCGTCATCGGGGAACATTTCTGCGTCTTCGGGGAAACCCTGCGCCGTCTGAGAAGTTTTCTGCGTCTTCGTAGAAGGCCGCGGGACTCCCGAGCTTTCTGAAAAGGCCCGCCTCTTCTCATTTCCCCCCTCTCGTTCGCCGCCGACTTTCAGTTTTGCACCGCCGAGTCGCGCAGGGCAGCCATGCCGGCAAATTCGGAGAAGGAGCACCTGTCCATCGTGATCTGCGGCCACGTCGACAGCGGCAAGAGCACCACCACGGGACGCCTGATCTTCGAGCTGGGCGGGCTGCCCGAGCGCGAGCTCGAGAAGCTGAAGGCGGAGGCCGAGCGCCTCGGCAAGGGCTCCTTCGCCTTCGCGTTCTACATGGACCGCCAGAAGGAGGAGCGCGAGCGCGGCGTGACCATCGCTTGCACCACCAAGGAGTTCTACACCGAGAAGTGGCACTACACCGTGATCGATGCCCCGGGCCACCGCGATTTCATCAAGAACATGATCACCGGCGCCTCCCAGGCGGACGTTGCGCTCATCATGGTCCCCGCCGACGGTAATTTCACGACCGCCATCGCCAAGGGCAACCACAAGGCCGGAGAGATTCAGGGGCAGACTCGCCAGCATTCCCGCTTGATCAACTTGCTGGGCGTGAAGCAAATCTGCATCGGCGTCAACAAAATGGACTGCGACACTGCCGGATACAAGCAGTCCCGCTATCCGTCTGCCTGCGGCACCGCCTGCCACCGTGCCAGCCCAGCAGCGTAGCAGGGAGGAGAGCAAGTTCAAGACCCGCTGCAATGCATTGCTCTGTCTGAACTGGCGCGGGTCTTAAACACCCCATCCATTTCCTCTGTTTCGTTTTAGTGGACCCCAAAGGGGGTCCAGCTACAAGGGGGTGGTTCAATTAATCTGGTGCAACAGATTTGTAGGTTGCAATAGATTTGGTGCGTGCAATACATTCCGGGGCGCAGATGTACTGCTGGGTTTTCGTGTGCAATATTCTAGTTGTAATACAATGCAATACAATTATCTGGCGCACTACCTGTGCAATACGCTTCGAACATATTGCACCAACCACTTTCAACTGGACCCCCTTTCGGGTAAACCAAATTCATTTCCCTTCTCCCCCCTCCTCAGTTCCTCCTCCCCTTCCTTCCTTTGGAATGCGCCTTGGTGCTCCTCTGGGGCCTTCTGATGAGGTTTTATGCTTTAGGGCCCTAGGCGGCTTGGTGCAGCCATCCCGTGGCCGTCTTGGACGCTTCCCAGGCCGTCGAAAGGCCGTCTTTGGGCTGTCGTGGCCCATGTTGGCAAGCCTTCCCGACGCCGCCTTTCGGTTGCAAGACATCGAGAGCGAGCATACCTTCAGCTTTCTTGCGTTCTGGGCCCTCTTGGGGACATCTAGGAACTTGCTAGGGTTAAGTCGGGCGTGTTGATCTACAGGAGGAATATTCAAAACAAGTTGTAGAACATACTCTGGGGATGATTCAAAACATGTGTTTGACGTATTGTTGAGTATTGTTTAAAAGGTTCGTCCAAGATCCGCTTGTAGGGGGACATGCCCGACCTACTGCTGGGGAACGGTTGGCCGTCTTAGGCTGATCTTGGAGCGCCTTGCAGTCGCATCCTCCCGGATGCGGGGCATGCTTGGAGCTCCCGTGGGGCTGTCCCGACTCCTCGTGTGTAGCAGTGGGGCGTCGGTCTAAGGGGTGGTCCAGTGGGGCGGGGGGGGGGGGGGCGCCTGGAACTCGGGAGGGGAAAACACAGCCAACGAAGAAGCGTCGATCCCGCCGAAAGCATGGGAAGGCACTGGAAGTGGGGGGGGAGTCGCGAATCCAGAAAGCATCAGAAGTATATGGGTAATCTTGGGAGTTGTGTCTATTCATTTGTATCCCTGGGCCCCTTCAAGAACATCGCCCACGCCTTCCCAGACAGCAAGCAGCGGTTCTGCCGGGCCCCGGCGTGCCGAGGGCGGGGCGGCGGACGACGAGATCGCCAACGAGATGAAGAGCATGCTGGTGAAGGTCGGGTGGAAGAAGGACTTTGTCGAGAAGGGCACGCCTGTGATGCCCATCTCGGGCTGGATGGGCGACAACCTGCTGAAGAAGTCCGACAACATGGGCTGGTGGAAGGGGTGCGACGTCGAGTACGGCAAGGAGACCATCCACGTGGACACCGTCTACGACGTGCTCGACGTGATGTGCTGCGCTTAACTGCTTCTCGAACCGCTCGGGGCTCTCTGTCCCCCCCGTTGGATCTTGCAGTTTCGGACATTCTGGAGCTGCAGTTTGCTGTCTCACAGTTGCTACTGTTTGTACGGGCAGCTACATGCAGTCAGCATTTCGCGGCTATCGTTTGGTGTTCCGTCCATCTCTGGAGATTGACTTCCTTTCCACGGTCAATATTCCCCAGCAGTGTGTGCAAACTTTTTCAGGCGAGCAATACAGTGGGGGCCAGCGCCATGAAACACCCTGCTTGCCTCCGGGGTGCTCTGGGTTTCTTGGGTTTCGATGGTTTTGCGACGGAAAGCGTGACGTTATAACTCCTGACAGGCGGCCGTGTGGAGATTGTGTGTTGTTCCCCTCTGGCGGATAACGCTCGTTACAGGGGCCAACCCTAGGGTAACGAAGAATGACATAAACACAAACAATCAGAGGTCCGCGCGAATTTCTCGGATCGGCGCTGAGGCCCCCCTGGCGCGCTCCAGGCACCAAGGAGGGGGGGGGTCCAGCGCGGATCCGAGAAATTTGCGCGGACCTCCCGAGTTTCATGCTTGTGTAAATGCTCGGTTCCCTAACCCCCCCCTTCCTGGGTACACCTTAGGCGATGCCTAAGAAAACCCAAGTTTTCGGCCAGAGTCTCGATAATTCTTAACGTTTCAACGTAAATCCTAAGATTTTAATAGAAATTTAGGGTTTTTAGTCAAGTTCTGAGACTATGAATTTCTTAACCCATGGTTTCGTAAGCATTTCGCAGGGTGTACGGTAACGTTCGCTGGAGCTCAGTAGACGGAGGTCAGCGCAATCGGGGGTCAGTCAGAGCGCCGGATCTTGCAGGAGTCCATAGAGCCGGCGGCGCATCGACCCGGGTTTGGGTGCCGGGTCCTGCAGGATCCCGCTGGATCTTGCAGGATCCCGCGCGGTCTGATTGGCCCGGGTCAGTGGACTCCCGAGGGGGGGGCCAACATGCAGGTGCCCGGTGTGTTGCTCAGAGGTGTATTGCGGTTTCCACGTGTTGCCGTGGCACATGCAGGCTCATCCCTGGTGCTCGAGCACGCATTGCGCTGCTTCCCCTTTTGCGACTCTGACGGGGTCCGGCGTGCTGTTGTACATGCGCCTGGTATTCGCACGCACTGTGGTGTTCGCGGTCACGTTGTGGCATTCGCAGGTGAACGCGGTGTTCGCGAGAGAAGGAGGAGCAAGAGGAGGAGGAGGAGGAGGAGGACGGCGATGACGAAGAAGGACGAGGGAGGTCAGAAACAGCATGGTTGAAGTATTGGTTCGACACGCACAAGCCGCTGCAAGCGCGGTGACGGTTTCTAGCTTGTCGCTGCCGCGGCCGCTGCCGCCGCCGTCGTCAACCTCGTCGTTCGTTGTCGTCGCCGTCTTCGGCGTGTCGTCGTCGTAGGCGTCGTCGTCATCGTCGTCGTCGTTGGTAGTCGTCCGTCGTTAGTCTTCAATCGTCAGTCGACAGTCGTCAGTAGTCAGTCGTCGTCGTCGTCGTCGTCGTCGTCGTCGTCGTCGTCGTCGTCGTCGCCTGTCGCCTGTCGTATGTCGTCGTCGCCGCCGTCGCCGCCGTCGCCGTCGTCGTCATCGTCGTCCTCGTCGTCCTCGTCCTTGTCGTCCTCGTCGTGTCCGGCTGCCCTGCTGATCACCGCCGTCTGCCTGCTCTACAGTGGGGGCCATGCCAAGAAACACCCTGCTTGCCTCCAGGGTGCCCTGGGTTTCTGTTAGACGGTTTTGCGATGGAAAGCGTGGCGCTCCCGCACCAAAAATCAGTGGACGTCCTGGGGTCTCGTGGTTGGGTTTTTTGCGGAAGGTTCCATGTGGACTGGACTCCATTGTACGAGCTCATGTTTGGGCCGTTACTCGTTCCATCGTCGGATGGTCGAGGCTGCCCGTGGTCCATAGACCCCTCCGTCCATGATCTGGGGTTCCTTGTGGCCAGGCTGCTCTCGCAGCCTCCGCCCGGGGGAGGCGGGGGGGGGATGCTGAGGAGAAGGGGGATGGGGAGGAGAAGAGGAGGGGAAGGAGGAGAAAGAGGGAGAGGGGGAGGAGGAGGAGGAGGAGGAGGAGGAGGAGGAGGAGGAGGAGGAGGAGGAGGAGGAGGAGGACTAGGAGGAGAAGGAGGAGAAAGAGGAAAAAGAGGAGAAGGAGGAGGAGGAGGAATAAGAGGAGGAGGAGGAAGAAGAACGCGACGACGACGACCATTCCGATGACGACGATTTCGATTACGACGATGCTGACGTCGGCGATGACGACGACGGCGATGCCGAGTCTGACTACGACAACGACGATCTTAATGACGACGAACTCGACGACGACGACGACGATTCCGACGACGATCGTGACTTTGACGGCGACTCTGACGACGACGGCGACGACGACGGCGATGACGACGGCGTCGACTCTGACGACGACTCCCTCGACTCTGAGGGCGTCTCCGATGAGGATGCCTGCGACGAGGTCCCGACTGATGCC